GGAGCCACCGGCTCAGAGGGAGGAAAAAGTGCGGGACAAGAAGGCATTGCCTCATCAACGCCGAGCGGCACACCCTCGACCAAAATGTCAATAAATGCAAGGTCAGGGTCCCTGGAAACCTCGAGCAAGGCCTCAAGCAAGAAAAGGCGGAAGGGTTGGCCAGGAGGAACGCACTTGAGTGTCTCGAACTCCTTATCGGAAAGTCGGAGGAAGCAGCGGAGATCGTCGAGGAAAGGGCGCAGCTCAACATCGGACAATGGAGGGTCCTTGGAACCGGACGCCAAGTTTGCACGAAACTTCCCAAGGAAGGCCGGACAGGTAATGCGCTGTATCCAGGCCTGACGCAGCTGCTTGAAGCAGTCTTCCCCTTGAGGCACGGACCAGGATCCGGTGGAGCAAGATCCNNGCCCCATCCTCCACCCGAGACGCCGGGACAGGCCAGCGCAAATTAGGCTCCAGAAGACGTTGTTCCCAAGTCAAGAAGGGAACGACCCCAATGTGTCGCGACAACAGGGGGGCCAGCATAGAAGCCAGGCGAGAACACAAAGATGCAGGATAACAAGCCGTATGCCGAGTAAGGAATTGGCCGGAAGGGTCACGGCGACCGGAAATAGGAGGGTGGTGGCCTTTAGGATGTTGGCAGGAAGACGCCAGACCGGACAGGTCGGATAGGTTGGAGACAAAAGTCCAGGACTTAAAGACGTCAAGGCCGTGATTGCAGGCTGCAACTTCCACGGCAGACAAACAGTGGTGGCGAATCCAAGATGTGCAGCCCGTGTGATGCCACAGCAGGCTAGTGGACGGATTTTCCAAGATAGCAATGCCCCCATTGATAAGAACGAGGGAAAGAAGCTCACGTGTGAAAGTGTGGATCTGGTCGGAGACCTCCAATTCGGCTTGCTGCTTATGGCTGGGTTTAGGGATGCCTTGGGGGTACTTAGGAGTACGGACCGGTGCCGGTCCACCGGGGCGCAAGCGAGCGCGACTGAAACTAGAACAAGGAGGGCCGGCACAAAGCACGCGAACAAGGCCAGAGCAGCAAAGACGCCTGAGAGATTCCTGATGGACCGCATCAAGGACGTCGATCTGTTCACCGAACAAAGCATCCACGGGGGCGATACGGTCACAGCCTAGATCACTGAGTGCCTTACTAAGTGGGGCGGCTGCCCCTGAAAACAAGTCAAGGAAAAGGGCCGGTTGGGGAGCGGCTGGTTCCGGGCTTGCGGGGGCAGCTTGGGGGGCGGAAGCGGGTGGAGCGGTGCCCGCCTCACGCACAGCACACGGGTGGGTAGCACTGCCCAGCTTACGTCCCAAGGGAATGCAGGGCCGGACGTAAGAGAAAGAGTAGCCCAGCTTCGGCCGCTTTGGTGACCGCGATCGTTGCGGGCCAGGTGGGCGGGAGCTCTGTTGACGCGCGGCGGTCTCAACCTCGACTACAGAACCATCCGAACTTGATGAGTCCACCAGAGAGGCTTCATCAACCGTGTGCGCAGCAACGGTGGCATCCGAAGAGGGCGGGGCGGGGGCTGCCAGCCTCTTCTCCTGCGGGGATTCTCAGTGCGCCATCGACTTATGTTTCGACGCGGTATGACGTTGCCCACAGGGTTTCCCGGTCGGAAGCGGAATGGGGCAAGAATGGGCGAACCGGCACGAGGACAGCTTGCACCGGCCAAGCACGAACCGCCGGCATATCTCTTTACCATTGGCATCGACGGAGTGCCATGACTCGTCCCACAGTTCGGACACCGGCCGACGGCCACCGGCAGGGGCTTTAGGGTTGGCTTTACCCTTAGGGGTCGGAGGGTCCTTACGCGGTTTCTTAGGGGGACGGTCAGGATTATCGGCGCGGTCACTTGAAGCACTGGCAGTATTCCGAGAGTTGGAATCACGCACGGGAGGAGCGGGCATGGACCTGGGCCGGGGGCAGAGGACCGTAGGGATCATATGCCGAGTGACGGTAATCTCCTGCAGTGCATCCGCCAGAGAGAACTTTTCGTCCCGCATCAAACCGGCTATGGCACCCCAGACAGC